TCGAATACAAACTTATTTCAATTTTGCCTTTAAAGTTCATCAAAACTCATGATACTAATCCCATCTAAATTTTGTAACTAAAAATAATTTCAAATAACTTTTTGACTTGACCATCACCATTATTGACAATCAGTCCTAAGACGGTAGATATTGAAAATGACCATAATTGTCTTGATAGGCTCTTCTCGTTACTACTATTAATTATTATAAGTAATTCATAGCGAGAGAAATAAATTCGAAGGGAATTGAAGATTTGAACCCACGACCTTTAAATTGGCTTAGTAGTCGAGATCGACTGTCTACTCTCAGCCACTCAGGCGGATATGATGATTTTTACATTATAATTTCCTATAACTATATTCGGCTTGAAAATAATTTTTTTTGTATACCTCGCCATCCTCTCTCCGCTGCATATTGACAACTCAGACTGTGTTATAAAACTTGCAAGATATTTTGTCAATTGTGGGCGTTTCAAAGTCCATACAATTTATATGTATATAGGCAGCCCTTTCGTTAAACTATATATTAAAAGTAAATTCTTGAAATTGTTATATTGAATTGTTGTTGCATCATCATAATATTACAATTCACATTCAAATGGATGATGAATTCATTCAAGTTCGAAAAATAATTAAAAAAAAAAAAATTTTTTTTTTTTTTTTTTTAATTGAATTATGATTAAAAGAATGCCATACACAAGAAAATTTTCAAACGAAAATATAAATCGAATTGTTGTCAGTGTTCGTTCCATTGTTTCATTTTTAATTGAATTTACATTTGTAACCGTACGCGCGTGCACACACACACACACACACACACACACACAAACATACATACATACATACATACATACAATTCTAAAGACATAAAAAAAAAAAAATTGATTTCTCTTTTAGGGAGGTTATCCAGCTCGCCTGAAAAAAGTTCTTATTGTTACCGCACCGTTGTGGTTTAAGGCACCTTTCAAAATATTGCGTTTATTTGTGCGGGAGAAATTGCGGGAGCGAGTATTTACTGTGTCTGTGCCTACGCTAAGCCTGTACGTGCCACGCGCAGCGTTACCTATACATCTTGGTGGTACGCTGGAGATTGATCACAATACATGGTTATTGCATTGTCGCAAATCGATGACGAATCGTGAAGACGAATTGCTCACCAATATTGGTGGTTTAGCAGCGACAATAACATCAATAAGCACGAACACGAACAATCAAAATCAAAATATTACGAACATTGCTACGGAAATTAATAATCAACATCATATAATAAACGGTTTTTTGACAGCGAATGAATTAAACGAAAACAATACCGCAACAACCTTAACCAATGGTCATAATCGTCAGCATACTTCGGCCGTCATACCAATAGTCAGTAGTCCAACAAATAATAAATTGATTGCTTTGATCGAGGATAGCGGCAACAGTGATACTAATTATCATTCTGATCTTGCGGTAACGTTACCGTCAACAATAAAAGCTGTAACGCCTTTGGTTAACGGTATCGTTCAGTCTGTAAATAATAGCAGTAGTGGTGGTGGTGGTGGTGGTGGCGGCGGCGGCGGCGGCGGTGGCGGTGGTATTGTTGGTACACAAACGGGTCTCAGTGATTTTTGGACAACCGAGAACCCACCTAGTAGTGCCTCATCTGGGTTTAGTGATGACGACAGTCTGGCTGGGCAAGAGGGTGATCCGAAAACAATTGAACAAATTGTTCAAATGGTAAAAACACTCGGCCGTAAAGGCCTGATTAAAGAGTATACCGACATACGTAGTAGAGCGCCTGAGGGCACATTTACTCATGCCAGGTAAGTGTAGCGCAGCCATATAAATTCGAAACGAAAAAAAAAAACTAATCATTCATTTAATATTTAAAATATTTACAATCGTTATTAACAGAATACGTAATAACTTGAGCAAGAATCGTTACACAGATGTACTCTGTTACGATCATAGCCGAGTGGTGCTTTCTCGTATCGATGGCGACGAATCATCCGATTATATTAATGCCAATTTTGTAGATGGCTACAAACAGAAAAACGCATATATCTCAACTCAAGGTAAATAATAATAAAAAAAAAAAAAAATGTACCAAAATAACAGGAAAAAAAAAAAAGAAAAAAAAAGTAATTTTTTTTTTTTTTTTTCTTTATTTTAATAAAACCCGCCCGCATATTAAATATTGCCTTAAAATGAATGGTCATATTATTGTTTCGTTGATAATGCCTAGGAGGATGACCTTAATTATTTGTTAGGCAAATACAAGCACCCAAATTGTTTGTTGTTAGTTTTGATCATACATATATACAAAGTTGCTTGCTTGCGCTCCATTTTACCCATTTTTATTGCGAGTGCTAATGTAATGCACCATCATTCACTTAACTTAACTGTGGAAATAAAACCTTAACAGCAACTGAATTTCGTCATTAGCTTCGTTTGTTGCCATTCTCTCGAACACACATTAGTCAGTTAACGAGATTAAGGAGTTCATACAATACCCATCCTATACTATAATGCAAACGATTTGCGATTGAACCGAAATCTTATGCAAAACGTATTTATTTAAAATAATGCATTAATAATAAAAAAAAATAAATCGCTTATAGCGGTCTTCCCTTTGATATCAAAATAATTGTTTTACTTTACGCTTAAATATTTAATGTATTATTAGTTCTTCTTTAATTATTCATAAGACGTCAACGTCGTTTGTAATTAAATTTTATTTTTATTAAAATGCACGCAATCTATGCATAACATTAGGAGGTCAAGGTTAACTTATTATTATAAGTTTTATCCGTTATATTCCTATTCAAAACGTCATGAATGAATAATAATTTCAACATGTGAAAAATGTTATTTTGCTCATGAAACAATCATCATTAGATGGGTAAAAATATGAAGGCGGGGGGAAAAAAAAACAAGAAGAAGAAGAAGAAGCAGAAAATACTTCTTTTTTTTTTTTTCTCGAAAATCTAGTTTTTGCATCCACCAGTACACCAGTAACTGTACCAGTAACTTTTCAGTAGCTTCGTTCGTCGTCGAAGTCGAAAAGATGTAAAGGTCACAAGCGTCATTGTCTGCAACTTTGATGCCTATTGCCGGATTTTAATTATCACACTTCTTAGTATAATTGGGGAAGTGTTATGTCATTCTCAGTTCTGTCTCTTTGCGTAATTTTTCTTTTAGGAACGGAAAAAATCGACTTTTTCTCTTTCCCTTCTTACTTTTCAAACTATATGCACTTTGTGTAAATATACAATAGTGGTCGCGTATATATACATATATATATATATGTATATATATGTATGTATGTACATTACTTAGTAAGGCAATCAGAGATGTAATGGTTGTTACAAAGCTACAAGTCGCAATTCATTTATTCCATGTCATTGGATTGACCCCACAGTAGCTTAAGTAAATGAGAGTAAAAAAAATAAAGCAAAAAAAGCAAAAAGTAGGTTGCAAAAGTGAATGCAATTTAAATAGGGTATACGGCTTCATGGAGGAAAATACGCACTGATAGCAGCTGCTTATATAAATGCGAGCATGAAAGCTATATATTCACCTTGAAGCGAATTCTCGATACCAATCAATTTTTTAGCGAATATAAAAAAAAATTCAGTTGACCAGTGGAGACCACTTTTGCATCCAAAATTTCGAGTTTTTCCTAAAAAAATTCTTATAATAAATTTGAAATCACTATTAACCATAATTTTTCTGTGATGATTTTTGATCAAATATATGGAATCGATTTACGGCCTCGCTATCTACAGCTAGTGCTCATGCCATGAAATCCAAAAACAATACGAGCGTCATTTACACAAGCTGTCACACGTACAATTATAAGAAATTTTGCATTCGATGTCGAAGAGAATGCTCGTACACTATCGCGTGCCATCAGGTCTCTCGTTAATGAAAAATCAAAAATTTACGCGCCTGACCGGCAGGGTTTCTATCTCAATTTATACGTTTGTGATAGTTTCAAAAATGGATTCGGAATCCTATGCTGCTCAAAAATACTATATATCTACATGCGGAGGTGTGTTCAAAAGGAGAAGGTGGCCTTTTTCAATTTGATGGACTATACATATATAGTCGTGTTTTAAATTTTATTTTTTATTACATTGATGCACATTTTATCCAAGATATGTTGAGATTATCAGCCATTTTGCATTTTTTCTGCGCATCAAAGGATCTGTGTTGAACTTTGTGTGAGAAGAGGAATAAAGTGTTCCAATTTGTTTTTTGGCGATCCGACTTTAAGTGAAGAAATGTTTCGCAGAAGGCCGAAAAGATATTAACGAAAGATGTCCGCCGCGATCGACGCCCCAGCATATATGTCAAGAACCGATGAAAACATTGAAGGAGTGAAGAAAATTGTTATGGAGAATCGCCGAACGACGAATCACTATTAGAGAACTTGTTGAAGATGCCGGCATATCAGCTATCTAATGCTATGCATTTTTGAAATGTTTTGGGCATGGAAAGTGCGGCATAATAATGGGGCAGTTCACGTGTAATTTTTTGACCAAAAACCACACCGTAACTATGCCGCAGTATTCGTAATCATGGGACATGGACGCCTGCGATTTTTTCCTGTTTCGAAAGGACGGCGTTTTGACGTAATTGACGCGATAAAGGCCGCACGACTGGAAGAGCTCAAAGCCATACCAAAAAGTGTATATCAGAAGTGTTTCGAGAATTGGAAAACGTACTAGTGTGTGATACAAGTGTATTGTAGCTAAGGGGGATTACTTTGAAGGAGACAAAATAGACGTTGATGGACGTTTTTTGGGAAAAATCCAATAAATCCAGAACAGCCTGAACTAAAGGCTATACCTATATTTACCCCCCTTAGGGAACTTTAAATATGGGTCTTCGCACCTTTGTCTTTATTTTTCGTTTTCGTAAAGAAGAATTTTTTTTTTCGTCTATTTTTTTTTTTTTTTTTACATTTTTTTCTAAACAAGTTTTTATACATAATTTCGACTATTCTTACTCGTCGTATTGGTAAGAGAAACGGCACTGCTGCTTAATCTAAGTTGATTTGAAATCACAAATTGCTCGGGTAATCGGATACTCGCGGTTTTTAAGTGTTACCAATTAATTTACACAATTAATATACCTACTCGTCTATCATTTATATATTTTGAAAGTGATGATGACGCCTATACTTATATAAAAAAACAAAAGTCACCACAAGTTTCTTTCTAGAAGATAAAAAATTGAAAAAGAAATTGTATATAAAAAAAAAAAAAAAAAAAAATCAATATAAAAAAACCGCATTCTGACAAAAGTAAAAATACACAAGGACGTTCATTAATTGAATGTATGATGGAACACATAGCAGAACAGTGAACAAAACTCATGAGTAAATGGTACTGCAGAGGAAAAAAAAAAAAAAAAGAAAAAAGTAACAAAGTACATATTTATATATCAACAGAAGATTATTTATATAAAATGAACACAATATGCACTATAGACAAGTGAACGTGTAGACACCGACACCAAGCCAAGCCAAGGCAAATTAAGAAATGTGAAAGAAAAACATTAAAATCTATAAAAGTGCAGATAAAAACAAAAAAAAATAAAAATAAATAAATAAATAAATAAAAAAAGGGAAATGAGGCACACATTGCATTTATATAAATATAATATATACGCGTTTTATATATGGTTTTACTAAAATATTTCATGATTTTTTTTTTTTTTTTTTTTTCTTAAATACTCAATACAAGACTCTAAATGAAGATGGTATTGCAGCTATTGCCAAATAAGATAATCATAGACTAGTTACTCAACTATTAGATCTACTGTCATTCAATATGAATATACAGCTTAACATTACATTACATTTCGGACGGAATCAACTACTTATGTTATATTATATATCTTGCTTACACAATTAATTCCAATTCAATGCGAGAGGTAAAAATGAATTTGTTAATTCCGAGATAATTTTAGTTTTGAAAAAGCCAAAGCAATAATGAATAGATTACGTTAAGTCAAGTATTAAATATAATACATTATCGTTTGATTTAGAAAAGATTAACAGCAGATCTTCATACAAAGAATACTTACATGAACATGATGGAAATGTGCCTATAGGCATAAATAAATAAATGGCTCCATCGAACATCATTTTTACCTCGATTCATCTGTTGTTAGAACAGTCAAGCGATAATTTAGAATATTCAAATATCTAAATCACATTCTGAATCCATTTTATCTCATCTGTCCGTCTGTCCGTATGATGTCCGCCTATGTATTTCCGCGTTTAATCTACAATTCGCAATTTTCGATTAACTGGATGTTTTTTTATATTTCAAGGACAAACTTTATTGAAAACCGATTTGAATTGCATCGGCAACTATTCACCATATGATGCCCTATTTTGAAGATGTCATTACTTGAAATTAAAAATGCAAATTTTTTTCACAAAAATCACGAAGTAATTGTCATCTCGGCATTCTAAAATGAAAGCGAAAAGTTCAGATCGGATTGGTTAATCTTTTAAATCCTTTCTCATATAAATAGTCCTACGAAAAGTAAGTCTTCGTAAGGCGAACAAATCTAATTTTTAACAGTCTATGTCGTGCAGGTTTCGGTATAATAGTGATTTGATATGAAAGTTAATTGCATCAAATTTTGATCACATACATCAATATTTTGCACTTACATCATATCCATATTCCCAATGAAAACTAAATCTTTATACGGCAAAAGGATGTAATTTTTAATATTTTAGAATGAAAATTGTTCCACATCGATAATCCGAAATTGACTGTAACAAATTTGGACCACGTAGGTGAATTTGTTGAACCCGATCTCATAAAAGACGTCTCAGAGAAGTTTCTTTTACGTGGAAATGAACTATAGTATAATAGTTTTCGGTATATTATCACGAAATCCAGTGAGGTATGGTACTAGGCGAAGTGGTATAGGGTATTTAATGATAAGATTTGCCCGACTATAATGTGTTTTACTAGCATTTTCTTTTGGAGCGATGGCGAAGCCCGAAAATTTATAACTTCCTTAACTATAGTTTACTAACTTCGATCTGTCAAGCTCTGCTCTTTGATCATGGAATAGACCATAAATTATTCAAATTTGTTATTAAAATTCACATTTGGCCTCTGGAATATGCTGCATAATCGAGATGCGAGAATCGATTTAATGAAAGTAAAGTTTGGTGATGAGAGTAGCCTTTAATAAGAAACTTTAAATCCGTCCAAGAATTTTTTCTTAAATTGAAATTAGACGCGAAAATTTAGAGGAACCAATAAGCATTCTCTAAATTCCATTCTTATGTAAATCAAAAATTTTTCATTTATTTCTTTCTAATTTTTCAGGTCCATTACCAAAGACATCCCATGATTTCTGGCGCATGATCTGGGAGCAGCATTGTTTAGTTATAGTGATGACAACACGCGTTATGGAACGTGGACGCGTTAAATGCGGCCAGTACTGGGAACCGTCGGAGAATAGTTCCTTAGAATTTGGTAATTTTCTCGTACGAACAGTTAGTATAGAAACCAATGAAGATTATACAGTAGCCTCATTAGAATTGAGAAATACAAAGGTAAGGAGTGTCGAAATATTCGCAAAATAGCATTTAAATATCAAAATGTGTCTTCGTTGCACAGACTGACGAAGTGAGAAATGTGTCACACTGGCAGTTTACCAGTTGGCCAGATTATGGTGTACCTAGTTCCGCCATGGCCATGATTAACTTTTTGCAAAAAGTGCGTGAGAAACAAACACAAATGGTGCAAGCTTTGGGTGATACATGGGCTGGCCATCCACGTGGTCCGCCCATTGTCGTACATTGCAGTGCAGGAATCGGTAGAACAGGTAAAAAATAAAGAAATATAAAATTGTATATCGTATACACCTATATACATATATACATCTATTTAAAAACATATTTTGCATTTAATCGGAAGGTACTTTTATTACTTTGGACATTTGTATATCCCGTTTGGAAGATGTCGGTACCGCTGATATCCGTGGCACTGTCGAAAAGATACGTTCTCAACGTGCCTATTCAATACAAATGCCGGACCAGTATGTTTTTTGTCACTTGGCGTTAATTGAGTATGCGGTATCGCGAGGTATGATTGCCAGTGTCGATCTGACAGGATTTAATGAGAGAGATGATGAATCGGATTAAATTTATAAAATACAAAAAAAAAAACAAAAAAAATACACAAATTCAATAATTATTTATATACATCAAACTACAAAAAAAAAAAAAAAAAAACACACACACACACACACACACGCAAATGTGGATAGAGTGTGGTCGTGAAGAAAAAATTACAAAAGAAAAAACAAAACAAAATATGATGAAATAAAAAATTTAAGAAGGAAGATAACAAAGCCAACACTACCAACACCACCAACTAATTTAATAACAAATTGGATAATTAATGAAAAAAAATAAAAAAATTTAATAAGAAAATGTTAAACTGTTTTTCTTCTCTTTTTGTATTATTAGCAGAAAAGCATCATCCAAAATATTAAATAAATAAATTAATAAAGAAGAATTTTATATATAAAAATAGCGAAAACATATTACTTTACTTTTGTTGTTTGTGTACTATTATATAATTTTTAAACGCTAATTAAACAAAACAAAAAAAAAAAAAAAATATGCGAGAAAATCGATATTAATCAAGTATTTCTTCTTTAGTTTAAACAATAAATAAAAGTAGACAAAAAGGAAAAAAAAAAAAAACAAAAAAATATTTACATGTTAATAATATTATCTAATTTTAATTTAAGACCAAGAATGAAATATGATAGCGAATATTCAATTTTCACTTTCACGTTTTGTTCTTTTCTTCTCTATTTTTTTCTTATTTTCCGTTTTCATATATATTTTTTTTCTTTCTAAACAATTTTCTAAATGTTAACTGTAATATGCTAAATTAAATAAAATAAAAAAATAAAAAAAAAACATACGCATAAAATAAATCGTAATAAAAAAAAATTATGTGAAATAATGAGATAAGAGGGAGCATTAACATATATAAAAGCAAAAAAAAAAAAACAAAAAACAAAAAAAACAAAACAAAATTCATAGTAAATTTAAAAAAAAAAAGCCACAATAAAAAAACATATGACATAATTTAGTATTAATAAAATTGGAAAAAATAATTTTTAAAAAAAAAATTCCAAATATTTGAAAACCATTTCCGTTTATTTATTTATTATTATTTTGAATAACATTTTAAAACATAGCAAAACCAAATAAAAAAGAAATAAAAACATTCTCTGGTGGTGTACAACGAATCGGAAAAACGATATTTAAGATCACATCCAGGAACCATTTTAAAAGTACATTCCAAAAACAAAATAGACCACAGATTCCATATATGAAAAAGTATACAAAATTTAAATAACTAAAAACCGTCCTTTCATTCTTAAGGATAAATTGTAACAATAAATTTTTAAAAATGTTTATTACGTCTGCGTACGAATAATGGAAAAATTTTATATAAAATATTTTATTTTTTCATTAGACACTTATTTTTTGTACCCCGTTACCCAATCATAGCGATACATTAGCTATACGCGTATTTCCGCGAAGCATGTAAAACTTTGATTAACTTCGAATTTACAATATTCTTACCTAAGCCTGTCTGTATCACTACCGCAAAGTCTTATATCTATACACTCATTTTGCCATCTATTTATGCGCTTTTATCGCTGATAGTCAAATCTTTTCGAAAATAAAAAGCAAAAAAATTCCCTTCCATTTAAGATAATAAGCAGATAAAGAAAAATGAATGACTTTTTCAATATACAGGATTAGCTATCTAGCGTTTGGGGGGAATACGAATCTTAAGCAATCGATCGGATCAAACGTTGTTAGGGGAATTGGCGCTTGCAAATAATTGATATGGAATGATGTTAGAATCTGTCGCCGTAGCGAAATGAGAAACCGTTGACCTTTACAAACACTTTTCTGCAAAAAGATTTCAATTTTGTTTTTTTTATAAAGACAAGCTTTAGCTCTTTCGGAAGGGTGGATATAAACAGAAAATCTTCTTGTTTAGTTGTCAAGAAAATCGGTCCCAATGCCTTTAAATTTTTCAAAATTCAAAGGATTTTCGAAACGGAAGATAGTCCATTAGATGAAAAGCTAATTGCTTCGTAGTCTGAAAGTAAAGGTCATATGTTCGTTTAGAATATTTATACCGTATGCTTGATGGATGGGCCTAATAAGTATGATACATCATGAGCTGGGACCAATTTATGGTTCTGGCACCAAATTATGGTTCTAAGAGAGCTTACAGCTGTTAATAAATTATGCATTTTTCTTAATATCGAATGGGAAGTCATTCGGTCTTAAAACTGCTATCAAATAACATATGCAAATTAGGATCGAGTTTAGTCGACATCGCGATCCATAAACCGATTCGATAGCTATGTATATCTGAGCTATAGCTTGGGTTGGGCCTTGGCGATCGCAAAGGCCGCAATTAACAAAGAACTGCATTAGGTGGTGAATATATGTGATTCGCTACAAGGCGAATATTATTTCGATTTGCGATTCCTTTCATTTTTTTTGATTTATTTATTTTATTTCGTCTGTTTATTGCGAAGAACGTTCTTATATTCAATCAAAATTAAACCTGTGGTACATAGAGCATGAAAGATAAAGAAAAATAAAAATAAATTGAAAACAATTCTTGAAATTTTTTCTGCATGTAGAAAAACAAAATTTGTTAGACAAGAATTAAAAGAAATGAAAAGAAAAGAAAAGAAAAACAAAAAAACAAAACAAGAAAAGAAAAAAATTCACTATTTTTGTAACGCTTAAAAAACTATAGTTGAAAATGAGATTAAAAGTAATAACAAAGAAATTTATAAACGTAGTGTGATGCCAGAATATATATAAAAACATTATATACGAACCTAGAAATAACCTCTCTCTATACAACCTATAACGAAAACAAAGCATTTAATATGAATATAAAATAACGAATAAAAGAATATCGTAAATTTTCGTTAATAACAAACATTTTTCAAATTAACTTGAAACTTGAAAAAAATTAAGGTTTTAAATTTAACCAATTGAATGAATGACGACGACTTTATCATCTTTTATCCGTCTGTTATGCATGGACGCGGATGCAACTAATTGCGCAAAAAACCATCTATGAGATTAATTCGATCAACGTTCGTTGCAAGAATCACAGAAAATGAATTCATCAAGTTCTTGTACATCTCTTGTCATTCTATGCCTCTTTTTGGTTTAACATATAAGTTTGCTTTGCAAAGTTTAATTATGTAAAAAATTTCTTAAAAAATTCTTCTTAAGTTACTGCCCTTCTTGGATTCCCCGTTTGTCTCTTAAATTCAATTCTTCTTTCACCTTTAGCTTGGCGCTCGATGCAATTCCGACTGCAAAGTTCTAGTCTTAACTTTGAATGAATTTATATAGCACGTATACCATAAGATTTTAAACCAATCCTTTTACATTAAAATATGACAAAAGACTGTCGCTGCTCATCTAATAGTCTTCCCTGAAATGAACTTTGAAGAATTCATGATTAAGTGCGACAAGACAACCTCATAGAGTCTCTGAAATGCGTTGATCTTGCTTAGAAAATCATTTTCGGATAATAGATTCAACAATGACAGCTTCTTAGATATTTTCGCGACTATGCAGCCAGTCTTCGCTGGTTCAAGTCTCAGTGCGGTGGAGTTCACTTTGGTCGTAAAGTCATATCGATTGGGCACACATCCACTAGGCTGCAGCCGCCAGCTCGCTATTTCTTTCTTCCTTTCTCTTTACCCACTTCTTTCTGACCTGGTGACATCCCCTGAGCGATTGGCCAAAGATATATCTTTTTACAACTACTTTGCAACGTTTGAATTGCTTTCAGTACTACTCTGAGAGAGATTAAAAAATGTCTTTTTTGTTAGTAATTTTCAATGTGTTCTGGGATGCGAGTTAAAAGCCCTAGAAACGAAGTGCGACGAATACATGGGGACCTCATGTTCAATTTACGTTTTCGTCCCCTCAAATCAAATAAAATATAAAGAAATAAAATAATATATGAAGAAATACAATTTTCCTTCTGGTTTCCTAATTATGATTATTTCTTCAATAATATTCTTCTTGCATACACCCACAAAGCAAACGATAGTCCAATATTTAAGTTTTCTTTGGAATATTATTTGAAATTAACAGATAAACAAGTTCTCGTAGATTTTAATAACATAATATAGTTTTAGGCGCAAGTAGAACAGACTGGATTATCGCTGTCGTGAGTGATCAGTCCAGATTCCACAAGTTCGCCGCCCAATTCCCACAAATTCCACTAATTTATGACACCATTTAACTATCAGCTGCTTTTCTCTTAAATTTATTTTCTCTTTCATTTTTTTTTATTTTTATAACTCTTCTTTATATTTATAGTTTACCAGAAAGAGTAATCAACTTTGAAAAATTAATTAATTTTTATTTAATTTACGGAAAGGTTGATATAAACAAGATAAACAAGAATAATGTGCTTATGGTGTTTGATGAGAGCGCGATGACGACACAAAGAGTGTGGTAGTCAATGGTTTTGGAATTTAATGAAATAAAGCGAATAAAGCTTTCATATTAAAAGTTGTGCAATTGGTTCAGAACTTGGCTGGAATATGTTTTTTGTTTTTTTCAATGTATATAAGGCATTTAGGTAATCTAAACTGATAGTGATTCGAGAACTTGTTCTTATATCATTCAAATTTGCCAAATTATTTAAAATCTTTAATGTCCGTGCATCTCGGAAAAATCATAAGGTATAATAGAGACGTTTGTCGATTGAAGGTCGATAGTTTCTTTTCTTTTTAGGTTTTCGTAATACTCCTAATTAAAGGAAGAAGCCAGTGGGCATTTTGTTACACCTTACTCGTCCACAATTTTCGAGTCGAACTGTTGACTTTTTGACAGAAACACTGACACCTTTCGAATAGATGTCCACAGCATGTGCAACGGTCGTGACAACGACTATAAACTAAAAACTTAATAGAGAGATATGACAAATGTGAGAGGGAGACACATAGATAGATAGATATATATATATTTATATATAAAGAGAGAGACGGAAAGAAAAATTCGTTTATCAGGACTACAAGGATTTTTCAGCGTTCGTCGTCCCACTCGTCCTGGAATTGTATGCATATCGCACGACGTGCCACCGCGACTCGCCATTCTTAAATCACACTGCCCACTTCTGGAACAATCTATCAGCAGTGGTCTTTGTCACTGTAACTGACACTTCCACTTTTAAGTCAAACGCGCGCAATCACAACTCAATCTTTTCATCTCTCTCTACCTATAACCATTCCTGACTACTATCACGCTCGGGCCTATAGGGGGGGTTTCTAGATGGATCACGTTAATTCTTTCACTGAAAATGAATATTATCTCAAAATTTCATTTCAATATCTGCTACGAATAGTACGCTATATAATTTTGTGGGTATATACAGTATTGTGGGCAAGGATGTATTTATTTCGCGCGTATGTGTAGGAAAGTTCAGCCTTCCACCTTAATCTTTTGGATTTTGCGCGACGCTAACATATCACGACCGAGAATAAATAGACCATGCGGGATCTTTAGAGCGTATTTTCTATGTGGATAGATCGAGTATACGCCTAGCCTTTGACAGTGTGGTGAATACGGATGTTAGTATATGTACTAACATATGCAAACACTTTGTTCCCGGGTGAAAATGAATTGAAAATGAACAAATAAGAAAATTATGTAAGGCCGTAAGAAACGAACCGTTTACACCCATCAAGACCACACCCTCCAAACACTGGAAAAAATAAAAATTTCTTTACTCCATAATATTGGATGGACGTTTTTCGACTTTTCGATTGTTATACAAGTATTGTAGATTCGTCGACGAAATTTAGAAATTTTTGTTGCTATAGTTTATGGGTAATCAATAAATAAATCATTTTTTTGCCTTTTGGAAAGAGACATGTTATTCGTTTGCGTTGTACTGTGGGCTTGTTCTTTGATCAATATGACCAATTTGCAAAATCGGCGTGTGTGCAACATTTTGCGTATATTTTTAAAAAAATTGAATTTTTTATTCTCTTTTTTACGAGCAGGAGTAGGAGGAGAGAAGACTTACGTTTGACTTTTTTCAATTAAGTGAAGACGTATTAACACAATCCGACGTGTCTTGAGGAAAGCCATGAATAAGCTAAAATCAATCAGACGTAGATCATAATGTGACTCTGTACTCATTAGTTGTGAATTAACACAAATCACACATGGACTCGGAAATATTTAAATAATTGTATCCCTTCTACCTCTCTCTCTCTCTCTCTCTCTCTGTCTCTCTCACCTTTTGCTCTCTTCCGCTTCGTTCATTTCATTTCAATTATAATTCCGCAGAGAAACCAATAAAACATTTAACCTTCATTAGGCAGTTAACAGCTGCTTCAGATTTGACGCAAAGTTACCGTTCGAAAGGTGTAATATTAGAAATTCCTGCCTCAAACTGATATATTTGCATAAATTTTTGCTCATGTAAACATTGCTCATGTCAACTCATCTCTCCATTCATCCTGTACGGCTACTCGAAACCTCAATAACTCAAAAAATTGGGAACGGTCGTGATTCGATCACAAATAAGTTTAAGAGACTCAAAGACGATTTTCGCGATTGATCGATTAACAAAATATTCCCTTCAAGGCGAATCTAATTTTCTTATTTGTAATATTCAGAAAGCTTGTCTGTGTCCAGCATTGCGGAACGTTTACTTTATAATAACACAGATAAGATATAAAAGTGAAGATTATCGTCTACTACTGCGAGGAAAATGCGCTCGTGACATGGCAAGCGAATGTGATTATGGATAAGTTGCGACATTTTTCAATTCGTTCTCAATGATTATATAAACTATATATTATATATAAGCGTATCAGTCGACTGGTCAATATTTTCTAGCACAACATTGCATTATTAAATATTTAAAGCAGACCTGACCATTATAACATAACCCCAACATAAGACAGAAGAAAGTTCATTTTTGCTTTAATATTAATTCCCTTTATATTTTTTTTAGTTAAATTTTACACTTTGTTGAATATGAAATAATTGTGAAAAAAACCTCGAGAAAAAAAATTTTAAATAAATAAAACATTAAACATAAACATCTTACATAAAAAAAAAAAAATAAATAAATAAATAAATAAAGAAAAAAAAGGAAAAATTTTAAGAATTTCTTAAGTATTCGTTCAGTTCTATACCGAGAAAACATACAAACATACATATATTTACTCAATAAATATTGTAAGAAAAAAAAAAAAGAAAAACTTTGGAAAAGGAAAACAATTACACAAAATGCTTTTATTGGTAAAGAAAAATATAGTTGGAAAAGATAACGTAAGAATCCGATTCGATATTAATTATAATCAGCCTTGAAAAATGTTAAAGTTTTCCCAGAGGAAAGCGTCATTTCATGTAGGTGATCGGGGAAACACTATGGATGATATAATTTTTCCTGCAATTTCACGAATCGTTAGGTGTCGGTCTGCTTCAATCATAACCTTTTATTTGTCATCATCAACGATATTTGGCCTACCAGAACGCGGTGAAGCTTTCACTGAAAATTTCCAAAACGAAATTTCACAAACCAATCTTAGCAACTGCGTTCTGTTACAGCACTAGTTTCATATATAGCGCATATATCTCAATACGCCTCTGCAGCTCTTGCATCTTCTTCGAAATAAAATAGGAAAATATATCTTATGTGCTCACTGTGATCTTCCACGTCTCATTGCTATAACTGCATAACCGACCTTTTTAAGAAGTTTTTTACAAAATAAATAAATAAAGCCTGCTTTACTATACCTAGACGCACTGAACGAGAAGACGCACTTTAGATTTGTAAGCTGATGAAATATATTTGAATACAATAGTATTCAGATGAAAATCTTTATTTATTGTTAACATAACTCATACTAGCAATATTCAGTTCATCTTCACTCTCGGTCCCATTAATGTCACCCTTCGCATTACTGTCATCCGAACTATTGTTTTCCTGCCTTTCAAAACTCAAATTTAGAGACAATTTAGTAAAAAAATATTTGAATTGTACCATAAGACCATAAGACGCATGTAAAATATGCGTATATTTTTTTATGTAAATAGGTACGTCTTACAGTTCGAAAACTACGATATATATACCTATAATTATCGGTCTAGCTACTACCTACTAATTAAAGCGTAGTACATTGACATCTGTTTTAAGCTATTCATGCGGTAGGTAGGTTAACAGAAACAACATTTGCTTTAGAGAACTTAAGAATGAGTTTAGCTAATCGTTTTATTTACGATCGTTCACAAAATGAAAATTCGTATCGGAAAGAGTACTGATCCGATGGAAAATTTGAATTAATCAAGCAATTTATCGATCGTCCGTTATTAATATTGCAAAAATTTGTATGGAAAACCGAAATTTGACATTTATTTTCATGATGTTCGCTGGTCTCCCTACAGAATGCACGCAATGACCAAAATGTATGCTATATGATTGCTATTGATATTAAATATAATCGAAGTATTTGCCAGAATCATCTAAATTGAACGGAAGCGGTTTTGCTAAACTTAAACATACGCACGGAGCAGATTGTCCGTTAATGAATTAAAACTTTATATATAAGTATTTCCCATGGCCGTTCAGAATATGATTAGATAGTTCACGATTCACAAAATGCTTAACAATGAATTAATTGAATTTTGATAAGCCAGGGCCAATATAACCTTCTTTCTTCGCAAACTTAACCTGGTATTCTCTTGTCTTCATCGCAATAGCATTTCTGGAATATTACGAAGTCATGGGTAACCGACGGCCCGCGGGCTTCATCCCGACCATGATGTCGTCGACTCTGGCCCACCGGTACGTTTAAAATTTGAAATAATTCAATTTGCTCGCACATATCAATGCTGAAAACGGATTGTATCTACTTTCGCTATCGGACTTTATTCGGACTTCGGCAGTGATATGAAAGTCAGAATTGATTGTTGACGGAAAAAGTTGCCCAACCCGGTTTATATCGGTCCAAGGTTTTTCACAAGATGGTCCATAGCTAATTTATCGAGATCGTCAGCATGAACTAAAATGTGAAACATTGTTCTACGATTAAAGAGATTATTTATTTTATTTATTTATTAACACATATGTAGTCTTGGAGCCATTTTTAAAGCCTGGTATGAGGTTGTTTTTCTTGGATGGATGATGTTAGTTAAAACTACCGAAATCAATGAATCTTCATTACACGTGTATAAACAGCAACAGGTCAGGAAAAACGAAGCGCAAAATAAAAAACAAGGCTTATCCGCAGCTTTGCAAGTGTAAACCTATTCACTACAGCTGTGGCCATCTACCAATTGTAATTAAATTAAAACAAATGTATCGCTTTGAAAATTAACCCCGCTTATGCCGACCTGATACTTTATTTACATATTTGAGAAAGGTGGCGAGATACATTGAAAAGTTGAGCAACTTTTCAAGTTCAATATTTTTGAAAATTTCCATGCTCATGTTCGCTGCTTTTAACCTGTTCAATTTCAAAGCCTGATCATTACAATTTATTCACATCAAAAAAACAAATCTTAATATTAAAAGTAAGATGAATTCACAGTAGCAATAATTTCATTCATTTTATAAATAGAGATTTCTTAGGATTACCGTATTTTTACGATAACAAACGATTACTTGCTTCTTCTTGGAAAAAGTGACTAATAGATTTAATAATACGGGAACTTTAGTTTTGTCGATAACTTTAGTATTATCGACCCCATCCCAGCACTACAAAGATTCAATTATTTTGTGAATAATAGTGTGGAAAAAATTGTATTTTTGTAAGGAAAATGTCTGAAAGAAAAGTGTTAAATAAATATTATCCACCGGATTTTGATCCGTCAAAAATTCCGCGTATGAAGTTGGCGAAAAATCGTCAATATACAGTACGTTTGATGGCCCCTTTTAATATGAGATGTAAGACCTGCGGTGAATATATTTACAAGGGTAAAAAGTTTAATGCACGCAAAGAGGACGTTGAAAATGAGACCTACTTGAATATTCGTATATATCGCTTTTACATAAAATGTACTCGATGCTTACAAGAAATATCATTCAAGACTGATCCCAAAAACACTGACTATGAAATTGAAGCGGGTGCGACGCGTAACTTTATGGCTTTAAAATTGGCAGAAGAACAAGCTCGCAGGGAAGAAGAAGAGGCTCGTGAAGAAGAAACAAATAATCCAATGAAATTACTAGAGAATCGTACCCAACAATCGAAAAATGAAATAGAATTGTTGGAATCTCTAGAAGAGTTACGAGACTTAAACAGACGTCAAGAAACTGTAGATTACGACTTAATGCTTAAACAATACAATGGCGAAGATAAAATTAAAAGGATTATGGAAATGGAAGCGAAAGAAGATGAAGAGACGATCAAATCTATGCGTTTAAAACATAAAAGATTGCAAGGAGACGCCAAGATTTTGGAAGAAACAATTGAACCCGTGGAAGCTCCAGCGAAAATGAAAAAACCCAATACAAAAACTAAAGTGGAAACATCTACAAGTCAGTGTTCAAGTCGAACGCAAAAAAATATTTTATCAAATATAATTAAACGTAAACTACTTGACGAAAATTTATCTAAGCCCAAAGTGGTGGGAGGTTTGTCGCTTGTTAATTATTCCGAAAGTTCCGATGATAATTCCGAATAAAATGTTTGTAAGCAAATAATGAATAATGTCCTTGTAATAAGGTAAATAGGGTTTTTAATTGCACGCTCGTCTTTCGTATATGTTCCTTTTTGTAGCCCTACCATATATAAACCTATGTATCGGCAGTATCAACAAGTTTGGATAATACTGAAAAATACACTTATTCCCGGGACTATTTAAATAGAAACAGTATGGAAATACCTTGATCTGCATCAGGCATTTAGTTCGACATTACATTACAGTAACTAGACGCAAACATGTGCAAGTAATTAATTTGTTACATTTATCGAAAGCAATTACTTGCATAAGTAAATCTTTCTCTTTCTGATTGGATATCACTTAAGGATATAGGGCTTTTCTGATTTAATGGATGAAGAAGAATATCACTTTTCATAAGGATGACGAAATCCTTGATTAATAGCCCTTTGTGCTTCTTGCTGCAAATTTTATGGATAGCTGTATCTTGAGAACTAATTGTCTCGCTGGATTCGGTAAACTTCGGTAAACAATACATGGACTACTTCTTAGAAAATGGTGCATGACGCCTGTTTGAACGTCTATCCAGATTACCTCTCATGACTATCGATATCATCCTCGTTTAAAGTATTACTACTTAATTCCGTTTGCTGTGCTATTTATATTTATTCATTTTTTCAAACATTACTTCCTTGTTGTGTGCCTCAAATGTTTCATTTATCAATGTCCTCAATTACAATCGAGATCGCGCGAGCAAAGGAAGGCTTGTAGGCGGCAACTATACACTTTAATATGTTTAAAATTTCTTGTTTTTCATATATATTTACCCAAAAATATATCTTAAGGAACGTACTTTGATGTTATGGATATTATAAGTTATAACTATTCGTGACGGGAATGCATCATATTTATGTTCGTCTTGTTAGGCTTGGAGATAATCTCCAGTGCACAGTCGTATAAGACAGGCACCTTGGAAGGTAATTTTCTTTGTCATTGGATCCTTTACTTGGTTTACGACAAAGTATTTATAAAACAAAGTATAGAAAAGTATGACGTTAATGTTTGCCTTCTTATCAATCGTTTAATGAAACTGGTGCGCATATCACCAGATAAATCGAATTTTTTTTAAGTCGAAAGATGGAGACATGCACTATTAATGCTTTCGTTTTTAACATGCAGATACTCACATCAAAGACCCCATAAAGAATGTAGGTAGTTTCGAACTTCAAAAGCCCTCGCTCATCTAAATCCAATCACTACTCACACGTCATTTAAAATTTCAGTGCAATGTAGGGTACCCACGAAGACGATATTAATAAGCATTTTCCAATCCACAGCGAATGCTTAATTAAAGTTTTCTGAACTACTTTGCGAGGTTAACTACAAGAAGAGGGGTGTGGGATCATCTAGTACGCCCACCTACACTAAACCGCTGCAATTGCCATATATATTAACTTGAGATGGATTGCGTTAAAAATTCATCCTCATGGAAACCAAACTATCTCACGTATTACTTTATAAAGACACCAAAGTGGGTTTAAAAATAGCTTTAGAAATTTGGTCGGAAATAGCATGCCATCGATCAACAGATTGTTACATTTGTGCGTTAATGTCCATTATTGAGTAAACTCAATTCAAGGAGCTTACAGTACCGTGTACACTAAGAACACCTATGTTTTTCAAAAGGAGTAAAAAATTGGTTTTTGCTCATTACTCATAAACTATGGCAGATAAACGTACAAAAATTTGAAACGCATATGGGTAATGCTGCAGTCTCTGCACAAGAATGAGAAAAATTGACCACGTCTACTCAATATTATAGCGTATCATAATTAAATTTTTTTTCAATGTCTTCATAACGCGCAGAAATAAGCTTTATGAACCCCATAAAGTATCTAAGTTCTTGGCCAGTTTCAAAGTAAGTCCGCCCAATTGTGTAGTATACGTGGTAAACATTCTGCCGTTAGCGAAAACCTTTGCTTACAAATTTGCAGAAAAATTTGGAAGCGGTCCAAACGACTAAGGACGAGCCTGTGCGACTAAACAAAATTTCCGCACCCACTCCATGTTATAAACCATGAAAATTTAGTTCTTTTACTTTTTTGTCCCTTTTAGGATAACGGCGATGAGTATAAAAGATTCGATCAAGACCGAATATAATTTTTTTACTTAATTTATTAGACTTAAATTCGTCGGTCCCAGCAAGAAAAACATAGAAAACAAAAAAAAAAAAAAAAAGAAAGGAGACAGCGTTACAATTACATGACAAAATTTTCATTATTTGAATTGTTATCGCTAATATATTTGTATAATGTGTATGGATATAAGACATACTATGCAAAAAAAATTTACCATAAAGGACAAATTTATTGGATATGAGAAACGATAGAAGAAAAAACTTTTCGTTTTAACAAAATAAATTTCAGTAAAAGTAAAAAGAAATTAAAATGAAATTAAAACTTAAAAATTTAAGCAGACTTATAATTCATGGGCTAGTCATGAACAGTTATAAAGTGTTTGATATTGCCTCAACGACCCAAAAAACTTCTTGTCCAATTCTTCACAATTGGTTTTGCCTTGGCTTGCTCTTCTCTCTCGCGTTCTTGCATTTGAGCTAATAATTTACGCTGATTTTCGCGAAATTGTGCAATCGGATCATTGAACTGGCGGTAATAATGCAAAACATCACGTACATCGTCTACTTCACTTGTAGCAATGGCTACAAAAGAAAATTTAAGTTTAAAAACATCCAATCAAAAGTCATTAGATAAATTAAATTCGCCTTGCAGCGAATCTTGAATATCCACCACTTACTACAAATATAAAAAATTTCTAAACTGCGCTCCCGTCAAGAAGCTAATTGAAAACGTTTTCAGAATTTTGGTATAAATTTATGCCACACTTCAAACCGAGACTTGTTAATTGATGTCAGAAATATATTGAAAATTTTAGTATTGTTCTGCACACGCACTTACTAGCCAAACTCCTTCATTTTGCATTTTTTTGCTTTTGTGGCTAACTAAGCCTTTTTTTATTTAAGAATTTCAATAACAGATGGACGGACGTAATCTTAGGCCAACTCGATAAAATTGCGCTAATTGATATGTTACGGGGTATCGGAATCGTATTTTCGATTTTCCTGTGGTGGGTATTAAAAAATTATACGAAAAAACCCACTTTTAAGAAAGGATATCAAATCCATAAGCTGGGTATCATCGTCATTGCCCGACCAACGCGGTATATTAAAAGTATTATCAGGATGCATTTGCGTGGCATTAGGATCCCAATCAACCACAATTACCTAAAAATGAAAAATTTTCAGGTTATCGTTTTCCCACTACTACATTAACTTGCAGGTGTTCACCCTTTTCAAGTCGCGATTTAGATTGTCTAAATTTTTGACATGATGACCGTCGACAAAATGAGTGGCATCACGTACCAGGCGATACATAATGTAACCATTTGGATCTAAAGCGTCCAGTATGGGAAATACGGTCATACCTTGTTCAGCTGTGAACACAACAATTTCAAAGAATTTAGCGCATTCTTGCAAAAACATATCAACGCCGGGACGTTTCTTGAAACGCCAACCAGTTTGATATGTCCAATCTGGATGGACTAATACATCTTTCATTTCTAAAACTAAGGTGTAGGGCGGTTGTATATAAGGGGGTTTTAAAGGATCCGGCAGCAGCTTTGCGCGCGATGGTTCTTGTATCATTTTTTGATAATAATTTAAGGATTTCCACATCCTTTGTATGTACTGTTGAACAATAGGATTTTCAGAAAATTCATCTTCAATAATTTGACCATCAGCATCGACTTCAGGTTTGCCAAATTCATAAATGGCCCAAACCAATAAAGCCACGCCTGAACCTCCAAATACAGCAAAGCTAAAGCAAATTTATGTAAGTTACGCAAGCTATGGCATTATGATTTCCTATTTTTAATCCACAAACCCAAATTTCATGCGCTTCCAAGCCTTTTCATTCTCTTTAGTCTCTTCGTCCTCCTTACGTTTGCGTTCACGTTCTGTTTCTTCATCTATATTGGTGGCAGTTTGTGGAAATAGTTTTGACAGAATTTCTGGACTGCCTTGCTTTCCTATGACAATTTATTGACACATTACAGTAAAAAATTTTTATACCATATCAAAAATATAGTACTTTCTGTGCTATAACCACGTGGCTTATTACCACCATTCCATAAAACAGCTCGAGCACTATAGTGACAATCTTTTGTTAATGTCAGCGCTACTTGGCTGCTTAAGCGCCGTTCTAGGTTTAATTTACCTAAAAAACTACTTATACATGGTTTACGTCCCATATTTTTTAGCGCATAACGCAATAATTTTGTCGCTCCCGTTTGAATCATAGCACTCCTTTGCGTTTTAATTTTACCAAAATTTTTTTTTCTATACTAGAAAATTGCTTGAATTTTCTTTAAAAACTTATACCGGCACAAAATTTTTCGTATTTGTCTAAAATGTGCAGAGAATGCCTTTTTTTATTTTTCTTTACATATGCTCTGACAGCTGTGAAGTAATCGATAGTATTTAAGAAATTATGTTAATATATTATTTATTTAAATTAATTAATTTTATTTGTGAACAAAATATCTTTGCAATTGATCGGTAAAATTACAAATAAAAACATACACTGAATTTACAGTTTTTTGATAGAAAAATTTTAATTTTTTTTGTTGATACGACAATCTTAAAAGAAAAAATTCGAAGTTACAAAGAGCAATCGATAAACAGACAATTTACTCTTAGCGAACAAATCTGCCTTTAAAATACAGTTCTGCTTTTATTGAGTTCACATGAAGAGAAAATAGTTTAACATAAATTGTGAATTATTTTAAAAAAGATTCAAAAATAACTTAGAAGCACGTTAAAAAGTATGATCGATGCAGAAGCCGATGTGGTCGTATGTAGGGCCTGCATCAGTGAATGTACAGAGTATAAATCTTTGCATAAACAAGGTATGCTACTCGAAGAAATAACTACATTAGCTACTCTATTGAATTTTTGCACTGGTTTGGAAATCCACGAAGAGGAGAATCCTCAGCTTCCTCAATATGTTTGCAGCGCTTGTGTACAGGATTTGGTTAGATGTTATATTTTTAAAAAGAAAGTATTGGAAACAAACCACTTACTGTACTCCTGCCGCCTTGAAGAAGCTGAAGAAAGTGGCGATATAATTGAACAGAATTCTTATGAAAAAGACAAGGAGGACGAAAACACAGTAAATGAAAAATTAGACATTTGCAATGTTGCTGACAAGGAGAGATGTTTGAATTATGTGGATGAAGTAACAAATGATGAAGAAATGTGCGACAGAGAGGGCAACGAAGAATTTTTAGCCCTGTCAATTGTTAGCGATCAAAATCTTCCTGAAGATAGCGAAAATGTAGAAAGAGAGGAGGAGCGGCCATTTACTGAAGAGGGTGAAATACTAGTGGACGAAGATAATGCTGATCTTGAATATGTAGTACATAACGTGGCCGAAACAACAGAAATATACCTTCAAAGATCGGACGATGAAGATATTAAGGAAGAGTGTGAACAAACTGGACAAATCTACGAAATGAATGAAGACGATCACGAAGAGTTTGAAATTCAAATTACTGACTTTGACTCTTATACTGAAGTCATGACAGAAGAAGTGAAAGAGGACGTAAACAATGAATCTGAGGACAAATCTGATAATGAAGTAATTTTAGAGGTCGACACCGACACTGATCCTAATGTGAAAGTATATAAACCTAGGAAGAATACAGGTCTAAGGAAGGAACCTAATCCGGAGTATCAATGCAAGGTATTTATAAGTAAAAATTACTAAAGTCCACAAATAAATTGTGTTTTGAAAACGCTTGCAGACTTGTGGTAAACAATTAAGCAATTCAAGCTCGTTTAAATATCATATGCAATTGCATTCCGATGTCACCCCTTATCTATGCAATTTATGTGGTGAAGGCTTTAAAACACCCAATGCTTACGAAGGTCATCTCTCTATACATGACCCTAATAACCCTAATAAATGTACATTGTGTGGTAAATCATATCGCCAGGCTTCCTCACTGCGCGTACATATGCTATCGCATACCGGTGAGAAACCCTTCACATGTGACATTTGCGGAAAGGGGCTTACACAAAAATCGGGTTACAAAAAGCATATGCTTACGCATACTGGTGAGAAGCCACATTCGTGTGATATATGCGGTAAATTGTTCCGTTATTCTAGCAATATGTTGGCGCATCGGCCTTTGCACACTGGCGAAAAGCCCTACGGTTGTAAAACTTGTGATAAAACTTTTGTAACCTCTGAACAAGCGAAGCGTCACATTTTAGTTCATACTGCTGAAAAGCCATTTAGTTGTGAATTGTGCGGTAAACTTTTCAAACGTCAGGCCACATTAAGATCACATCAACAAAGTCATCATCAGTTAATAGAGGCAAGAGGGCCAAGTCCCAGACGGAATCAATCAAACGTGGTAGAAATTTATTAAAAATGGAAGGTGATAGAGAAAGAGAAGAAGATGAATCGACTTAAGTGTTCCGAACGAATTTTTTGAATTTGTTTTTGCTTTTCTATTCACCGTCGAAGTATATCGTCTATACAGGTTTTGTTATTCCGTTCGCATCATTTAAACGTACGCAGCCGAGCCGATATACTGTTTACAGCTATTTGATTAATAGAAGATTCTGGGGGAAATTAGTAAAGTTCGTCCGAGTATACTCCCAGAAACTACAAGGAATGCTTTTACATGAAGAGCCCATTTAACTTAATTATGTGCGACAAACTAAATTTCTTTTTGTTCCCAAGAATGGCGATAATATTGGCATTCGCTATTGAACACTTGTTGGTCTTCTTGACTCGCATCCCAAATCATCATCTTTTTTTTTGAGCATCGAATTGCTGGCGTAGTCAAATGTACCAATGTTACCTATTAACTATAACAATGGATATATGTATCGAACAACAGATATAAATATATCCATTACTATTATTTTCCACTATCAAATGTAAGTAAATGTAAATGTACGCTGTTTCACGACTGAATTGTGCACTTTCATAAGTGGAAGCTAAGATGTTACAGCACAATAAAAACCATGTCGTGGAGCTCTCTGAGAGAAATCTATACTATTAGACTAAAATTTTATAAGTACACAAAATGTCCTATTCAATAGTCCACTAGTCCGCTAGTCGTGCCAGACATCAGTCAAAAATGTAGTACGCATATTTTGAAAAAGATCTTTACAAAATTAGTTTCAACTGTGCGATTAAAGAAAATCTGGTATTAGATATTCAAAATTCGCTGTTAGGCGAATATATTTTCTCCTGTTTCGTTTTTTCAACCAAATAGCTAAATACACCTTATCGGTATTTTTCTTTTTATTTATGTTTCATTTAAACAATTATAAATAATACAGAGGGGTCGATAGGAAATTTTACAAATTTAAATATCATGTATTTATATATATTTTATATATAAATGTAGTTTATAAATATTTTTTATAGAATTATATTTCGTAAGAGGAATAAATAATTATTGAAAAATTCATTAAAAAAAAAACTTACAACAAATAAAATACAAATTTGAAAAACAAATAACGTTGATTGATAAAGAAAGAAGAGAAAAATAAAAAATAAAATCAGAATACTAGAATAACACAAAGAATATTATTTTAATACAATAGTTGTAAAGCATCTCAAGAAATAAAATTATTGCATAAATAAAATTTTATATTAAAATTAAAACATAAATTAAAGGAAAAACTTTTTTCGTTATCACAAAAAAAAAAAAAAAACAACAGAAACTAAAAGCAGCCAATTAGCCCTAAACTAAAGAAAAATGAAATTATATCTCGTAATTTACATTTATAATAATAAAAAAAAGATAGAAACAATTGTGTAGGTATTAGGGTTACATTCACTCTAACTACTTTCACCTAAGACGTGTCCCCTCGGAAACGCGTTTCATTTCGCGGCTATTTGCACGTTCGATAAACCAATTTTTATTTTTATCTTTATCAATCTTATGTTCTTTCTCTTGACGGGCCGTTTCGCGATTCTTCATATAGTTCAGGTGCCAAATACCGTCATTACCTTTTCGTTTCGCCTCTTTACCATATCGTTCTTGTGCATATTCTTCCTTAGAATCGTATGAACGTCTTCCATTTTTTCCTTCTTTAGAATTATAATTGAACTTTTCTTTTCGCTCTTTCTCGCTATTATATGATTTTCTTTCTTTTGAGTTATCCTTATATTGTTTATCGTATTGTTGCGTTTTTCGATAATTCTTAGAACGTTCTTTCGAATCGTAATTAAGCACTTCCCCTTTATCTATGTCATTATTATATGGTTTTCTTTCCTTGGAATTATTTCTATGTTTATCATGTTGCTGTTGTTGTTGTTGTTGTGATTTTGAAGAATTAATCGGAGTATTTTTTTCTTTCGAGTTATAATTGCGTTTTCTTTCCTGTTGACTTTTGTCGTCATCGCGAAATTTTCTTCCTTTTATATAATCTTTAGATTTATCGTACCTTACTTCCTGCTGCTGCTGCTGCTGCTGCTGTTGTATTTTTCCATAATTATTAGAAGAATTTTGATATTCTCTAGTTTTAGAATGTTTGTTATTTTCATTACTGTAATCTAGCGGATTATAATTTTTTTCTTTATGTCCATGATCTGATGACCTCTTTAAATCGGTTTTGCCTTTTGTTTCTTCTTTTCTCATTTTCCAATTATCTTTAATTACTTCTTCTAATTTATCGTAAGGATTATGAATAAATTCACGCGTTTTTTCCGACATTTCTTCTAAATCCTCTATTAAGTTTGAATGCTTTCTCAAATTATTTATGTTGTGTCCTAATTGCTCGGGAATTGTAGGTTCATTTGACGAGGACTTTTCAACACACATACCGGCCAACTCTACGTAAGAGCCATCTGTACACTTATGGGGCCTTTTTAAATCTTCTTTGGTTCCGTCCATTGGTTTAATGACATCTCCAATTCCTGGCCAAGCTTTGAAACTCGGCTTTCTTTTGTGTTGTTGTGGTTGTTGTTGCTGTTCTTGTTCATAGGCGGGAGATTTTTTATCGCTTTTTCTTTGCTTCTTTTGTTCATCAACTGTAGACAAATATTTTACTTGTTTGTTAAGTAAATCAATTTCAGCTCTCATTAAATTATTTTGCATTTCCATATCATTTAGCTTTTGAACCAGGTCAGTGTTAGACGTTTGTGTTTTCGATTGCCAAGGAGGATTTTGTATTTGCCCAAGTAAAGCAAATATACCCAAAACAACACCCACGTAAAAGATACCGTGAAGACCTCTTTTCAATCTTGGCGGCGTGTCTTCATTAGCTGGCGCGGTATTAGCTGTTTGGGAAGCTTTTTGTAAAGCTTTTATTTCTTTTCCCGAAATTGACGTCGAAATTTTACCTCTTTGCCTTAAATCTTGTTCAGCATTTGCAATAGGTAAAATTTCAACACCTGAAACTGTGTCCATACAAGGTTTGAAGTCATTCAAAACGAAGTCGTTATGTGTTGCGAATTTCAAATTGAAGTCTTGCAAATGATCCCGTAAGTCAGGGTGTGGAGAAAGACGCCCAGGACTTTCACTTCCGCTGATTATAGAAATTCCATCCGATAAATCATCAGTGTTTGAATTTAATGGCTCTAGCGATCTGCAAGAAAGTAGTGCAATATAAACAAATTAACATTTCTTTAAAAGTTTTTGCGTTTTATTCGTACTTCTCCACGATTTGTAAGTGTTGGTCTTGTACATTTTCCGCTTCTTCAGCTTTGTCATTGTTATTATGATCTTCTTGTAGAATTTCAATGCGATTATCTATATCACTGTCCGTGTTTAACGATGTCGATGAGGCTGGCGTATTCGGGCTATCAGTTTCTTTATTTGTTACCAATGTCCAAGTATCAAACGTTTCTGAGGATTCCATGCTGGTAGCTAACAATTCATTGTCTAATTTTAATGGGCTGGGGATTGTCTTTACAGTTTTCTCTTCCTCTCTATCCATTCTGTTTCAATTCTTGCGATTGATTATATTTTATATCTAGAAAAATAAGCAAACAACAAAAAATTATGATGAAATTTAAAAATTATGTTTTATAATGTAAATGACCTTCGGTTTGGCCACGTTACGTTTGCTGTTTACGTTTACGTGTACTTTTTAAAATTATCAAGCGAATCTTTCTTTTTGCTGAATAAGAACGTGTTCTTTTGAAGATTATTTTCGTTTTCTTTGTTTGAATGTGTTTCGCTTTTAAAATATTTATGAATTATTCGTCGTTATATATGTCAGGAAAACGAAATTAATTGCTTCTCTTTGTTGAATGAATGGTCTTTTATCCAACCCAGCCTATGAGTTGATATAGCCTTATGTATAATGCATTTCTCTTTTTTCGACATTTTTTGCTGCTAAAAATTCTTTTTGTATACAAAATCTACAAATTTTGTCGACTGACTAATTTACCTCGCATTTTTCCAAAGAATGGACAAGGAAAAGAATGCATTAATCGTTATTGTACTGGTACAGGTCGACATCACTAAGTAAACCAATTAGTAAAACTTTGCTTGTAGACATGGTTCCTGAAGTTTAAAAGTTTTTCATGGAATATATAAAAATTTTAGTTTTTCAGAGCCCACTTTAATTTTACAGCTATAATCGTTCGATAATACTATATTGCCGAAAAATGTCTAGTAAATCAAAGACTTGGATGGATAGGCTAAGCATTGACAATTGCTTACCGCTTTAAATGACATCTACGTTGACGAACGTTGCACAAATTTGCATACAAAATTTAGAACATATTAGAAAGGGGCTCTTACATTTTCAATACCGCTACTTGCACAGGAGAAAAAATTTAAGGTCAAGTAAATATAATTATGCAGATAACTAATGCATAAATGTACATAATATTAAATATTGTTTTGTTTTTGTAAGAAATGAATGCCCACTGTCAGGCCTATGTCTGCTAGAAAACATCTGTTAAAGAATAAATGCAAAAAATGTAAAAGGTATTTGTAAACAAATTCATAAACATTCATAAAAAAACACATCGCACACGCACACTATGTAAAAAAATTTGTTAAAGGCGACATTTAAAAATTTGTATTTACGTTAGATAAAGTTATACTATATACAAGAACTAATAATTCATATTTGTATAACGTTTAATAGATACATATATATACATATATAGGTATATATATATATGTACATGCAGGTTTACATTAATTGTTATTACGGTCACAAGCATTATATTGGATTACATTAGTTTTGTTATTCCATTTGTAACGCCCATCACCACGAATATTCTTTAATTTGCTTTTGTAAAACTTGGAATACAAAAAAAAAAAAATAAACAAAGTTTACGTATTTACAGTTTGGAAAAGAATAGGTCCGCAAACACACCCAGTAACTGAATGAAGTGAAGAAACTTTGTGAAAGGCATAGAAAAAAATTAATACGTGTCTCTGTTAAAAATTACAAACTGCAAGGATCTTAAATGATTGTTATCGGAAATCACGTAGAAGTTTCATATGAAACCCATTCCCAATTAACTAATTATAATACTTTTATGCATGTATGCACTTGTTGAAATCTTGAGTATATAAAATTCGCTTACCTGTTTGCCTCTTTTATTATCAAACAAGTATTTATGTGCAAAGTGAAGGCTTGTCATATGAAGGTATTGCGATTTTAGATTTCAAAAAAAATGTATGCCTTGCAAATTTTAGAGCTGTCTTAAAGCTTAAAGCTAAACACAAATTCCTTCCTTTGGTCTTGAGGTTTTATAAGTTATGCAAACATATAACTAAATATATAGCAGACAAGTTATTAAATTTATAAATTGCTTTGTTGTTTGTTACGAAGAAGAGGAGGTGGGGCGACGAGTGTCTATAAAACTTTGTTTGTTTGCGTTTTTATTGAAATGAACTCTTTATGTCACTTACACAAATATCGTCCAATGACTGCATCAATATTAAGCAATTTGTATGCGTAGTAAAGAAAAACAGTAAGACTACTCTTTTTTTTATTTTTTTTTTTAATAATTATTTATTTGTAATTATATTTGTTTTTGTATAAAAAGAATGTATTTAAGGAAAATATAATCTGCACCAAGTTTATTGCAAAAAACAAACTGCGTAGAGATCTTTTTTCCGACAAAATTTAAGCAAACTATAGCGTTTTTTACATTAATTTGCAAATAATGGAATTTTAGGTTGCTAATGAATTATAGAAATTTCGCTCAATGTTGCCAATTTGTTTATCTTATTGAATGAAGAGAGCAAATCGCTTTTCGTATTAAGAATAAGTGAAAAATAGAGAAAACGAATATAAAATAACTGAGAGAAACAGAGAGAAATTTATACTTATAAGAGAGAATACATCTGATAACTAAAAACTCTATGCAGTGGTAATCATATTATGTTAAATAGCTTGGCAACTCTATCATTATAACGGTTTTCCTTTTTTATACATTGTAAGCAACGCAGATTTTCTAGATAGAAGATTATAGTACATTTTTATTTAAGAAATCGTTAAATAAAAGAGATTTTAAAGCGATGCAATTTTTAGTAAGTAAATAAACTTTTCGAAGGGACTTTCTGCAATGGTTTGCTTTAAATGTGCGTAAATAAAGTGAAAAATAGTTAGTGTTTATGTGCGTGAGTGGCTGATAGCGTTAATATATTTTTGAAGTTTAGGAAATACTTACATTTGTTTCTTAAAGCTAATTAAAGGTAAGTAAAACGTTTATTTATTGTTGCTATTGAAAACGTTTATTATTTTATAAGCATTTTGCAAACGAAGTTTGGTAAACATATTCGTGCAAGTCGTAAGTACTTTTGCTCGTTTATATATGTAAGTCAATAGCCTTTATTAAGTATCTGTTTGTGTTATTTTATATTTAATGATATTTTCTTTTTATTGAATATGGTTTGCATTTTCAATTTGAGATTTGTTAAAAATGTTATACGCATGAACTCACCATTTTGTTGTTGTTTTTCCATGATGCGTTGCACTTCGCCGGCTTCAGAACCACTTTCCCAATCAAAGGCTGCTGGACTCTGTCTTGCATTGGCATTAGTTAGCTCTTGAATTTGAGGCTGTTGAAGCTTTTGCGGGCGTGTAGGTGTTGATTCTCTTATTAGAGGGGAATATTGACGTTGTTGATGAGCTGGAACGTTTTGTATATGCGCAGATTGCTGTTGCGGTTGTAATATTTGCCGCACCAACACGGGAGTAGCACGATTTGGTTGTAACTGCTGTTCCAAACGTGTAACAGGCACTGCATAAGGTTGTTTAATTGCGTAACGTGGACTAATCTGGTCAGTTAATAGTCCCGCCTGCTGTTGTTGCTGTGCAATATTGGAGGAAGTTGGGCTCCAATAAATTTGACTCACATGTTGACTTGAGCGATCAAGTATCAAAGGAGTACTGCGACCGTCGTGCAATCGGGGTCGTATTAAATGTGTCGGCTGTGCTGGCTGTACTATTATAGGTTCACGAACGGTTATGTATCCATAGCTAGCTGGCATCGCCTGTAATTGATGTGGCCTCACGTATTGAGGTTGAGCGTATAAATCATATTGAGGATAACCGTTTACAAGTTGTGCTGTTTGCACATTATCACCATCCACTAAAATGTATTGGGTTGTTGCGTGATTGGCTGCATTGGGGTTAGGAGAGAAAGAGCTTTCAGATCTTTGCATGGTGCCTTGATGTATGAGAATTGGTTTTATGTCGGTATCTCGTCTCAAAACATATTGGGTCGTTGGCTGTGGAACGAAGGTGCGAGGTGTCATCTCATATAATTCCGCTTGCTGTGATTGCGCGCTGCCCCGTTTTATTACGTGAGCATAAATTGGAGAATTGGTTACATTAGCTTCGGTAACCATTTCTTGGGCTATGGGCACAAAATGTCCAGCGACGGCTTGTTGCATATTCATGCGTTGTGGTACTTGTGGAGTAGCGTACATGCGCGAGCCTGGACGTTGATGCATTTCCACCGAAACATACGAAACGGGCGAGAGATCAGTACTAATCGCCCCAGTTGTCAGCGGCACAGGTGTTTGTTTCTCATAAATAGCTTGTAAAGGTGTAGTCTGTTGATTGGTTGGTGTTTTATTTAATGATTTTCTGCAGAACTCTTTAATTTTCTGCAAAATCTCCTCACGTGTCAATATACCACCTATACGCCGCGATGATGGATTGACAGCTTCCTGCTTGCGTCTTAGTATGACCGGTGTGTCGGGAGTTTCACTTTCATAACCTCGCTTATTCAATGTGGAAACGGAATGAGTTACGCCTTCTAACACACTTTGACATCGCGCTGGTACTGATGCTGATTCAGTTTGCTTTGATTTGACAGGTTCTATTGGTGTGATCAACGCTTTACCATCAATTATTTTCACTTGTCGATTGTTACTCAAACGCGTTATGCCGGAAAATGTATTTCTTTGCGGGGAACCTCTTGTAAAATTGCTCTCTAGGGGTTGTAAACGTATTTGGCTACCGCCGCCAGGCAAATGCTCGTATATATTTTCTGGTATACTTAATGCCTGTGCTTCTGCAGTTATTGACGTCGTCGCTAGTGCTACTTTTGTTTGATCTTGGTCTTTTGTTTGTTGTAGTTGTTCATGCAGTTTTTGTTGCTGTTGCATCACACGTTGATATAATTCACGATCGGTTTGTTCCTTAATAGCTCGCAATTTGTCCCATTCCTTCTGATCGACGTATACGCCTAGTTGTGATGCTTTCTTCGGTATCGACGAGATGGGTGAAATATTTTTGGCATGTACTAAGGGCGCTGCCTCCTTATTAGGAGTAGATGTCACGGGCGGACCATTATTAACGGGGAAAGTGGTTTCTCTAATACTTTCTTTCGTATTTACCCTAGTAATGGCAGAAAGTTGTGTTGACGCTTCACCAGAAACGCTATTTGATCTTTGATGAGCTGCCCGAACCGCATTTCTTTTTAGAATTTCATTACGATCCATTGATGAGGATCTAGCGAATATTTGTTGCTGTTGCTGTTGTTGTTGCTGCTGCTGCTGCTGTCTGTCATTAGTGCGCTTAGGTATCATACTTTGTCTTTCCAATGAACGCTTTAGCGGTTCTTCGCATCTAAGACCATTTTCTTTAGGTAAAGAATATAAATTGCTACTACTTATAGGTTTATTGTTCGAGTCTTGTTTGCCTACACGTTCACGCGAAAGTGTCCTGCGTGGTGGCTTGGCTACAGTTTTTACCTGCAATTCTCGTCGCCTTAGGCCAGGAGTTGCTGTCGGCCTCTCTGCGACTTCGCAATTGCTCTCACCATTTATTAAATTAGTGCCTATTATCGAAGGTATTTCATCGCCGCTGGCATAACTTTTACGCGTACGTTCCGTTTGATGCTTTAATTCCAAGGTCTCTGTTGGACTCAATAAACTGTTCGTTTTTGGACGTCCATGGAAACTTTGACGTTCTAAAACCACGCGTTTAATGGGTTTTATAGGAGTTTCATTGCCCGGAAGTTGTTTGCTAGCATCCTCCACGTAAACTGTTTTGGCTGTTGGCACATTATGCCTGGGGGAGGTCTTGCGTCTAGATGCAAAAATGCTATTAGCGAGAAGTCTTTGAAACACTGAAGGTTTTTTGTTACCACTGTCGACAGCGTCCTTTTTATCGTAGGAGGAAATTTGTACACATTCAGGCTCTTGTTTAAAACTGATTTGCTTATTGGAAGGAACTGATTTTTTATATAATGGTTGGGCCCCATTTGGTATTTTTTTAGGTATTAGCGTTAATCCCTTTTTGTCAAGGTACTCTTGGAACTCCTTTGATTTGATGGTATTAGTAAAAGTGCCATCTATTGCTGGAGGTGATGGCTCCCTTTTTAAGTAGCCGTTTTGGGGCATTTTGCTATGCTTTTCTTTATCTTGTTCGGTATTGATCATAATTATTTCATCACTTGATTCGCTTTTGGTTAGAGGCTCCTCGATTTCGTCAATATCATCTTCCGAGGATATGTTGAGTTTTTTTATTCTTTCGTCGAATTTTTTGGCATTCTTTGTTACTTCAGCTTGATTTAAAAAAGTGCCTTCGGAATCTGTGCCAGTTTTAATTTTTAAATCTGAGAGATCAGGATAGTTGGGCTTCGAACATTTTTTAAATGCTAAAGGAAGTCTAAGTCTGGTGTCCGATTGCCGCTTATTAGTGTCTTTGGCACGTTCCCGGTTACCTTGATTTGGCTGCAATTTCTTTGGTGGCTTCTTCAAAGCTAAATCTTTAAGTTCTTCGAATTTTAGCCTAGCCAATATTGTAGGATCGTAAACAAAATACGGATCTGGATTTTTAATGTATGTTTTAACATATTTCGATTGCTTTAAAACTTCTTCGGTGGTAATGAACTCATCGGTGGGTGATTTGATGACCACCTGATTTTTTCGATTGTTTGCCTCGTTTTTTAAACGTTCACGTTCCTTTTCTTTTTCACGTTCACGTTCTCTTAACTGCTGAGTTACGGTTTTACGTACGCTAAGTGTAGAACGCTTCGCCGGTACTGGAGGAGGTATCTTTTTCTCCTTTCGTTTGCAATTGCCGTTATTTAAATGACCATTTGCGTTTTTGAAAGGATTCTGTTGGTCCACAATGGGTTCACCGCTTATGAATTTTTTAATTTTTTCATCGTTAGGATCAAATGATACCGATTTTTTTAATTTAGAGCGTGGTTTCGTTGGCAAGTCCTCTTGGGACTTGACTGAATAATCTGATCTATAATCAGACCTATCTGTATCACAGCTATCTTCTATTGAATTTCGTAAACAACCATTTGTTGTTCTCTTTTCCTTATTTAATGTTCCTTCAACAATAGAATTTCTATTCGTATTCAGGGATTCTAAAGATGTGGTTGTGATAAAATTTTCCTTTTTAAGTTTGTTGATGAGATACTCGTTATTGCTTGTCTCTATGACGGTACAAAGTGATTCAGTACTAACGTCATGACTAACCGGTTCTGACATGACGCTTTGCAACAGTGTAAGAAGACGATAACAGAGTTTTTAGGAGATAGTAAGATCGTTGTTAGGAAATTAATAGTAGTAGTCGTTGTAAATCTTTCGAGAACTCTCATTGAAACTTGGTCGAGTTTACCAACGCTAGTAGAAAAGAAGCTGTAATAAAGAGAACATATATAGCATGTTATAATAACATTGAATTGTGCAGAAATGCTTACAGTCGTAAAACTTTAGCTTAAAACTTAATCCGAAAGTAGGTGAGAATGAACTCTTTCTGCCATTCTATTACTTCTGCGTATATGGATTATTGTAAAGAATTGAAATTTTTTGCATTGAAAGTATCGGACATATAACGATTCGGGAGATTGCACAAAAACTTATTTCATCTAAAGCAAGAACAAGAACATTATAGTCGGTCAACGTCATCCATTACTTACCCTACATCACTTTGTCTAGTATAGTTATTCACTCGTTTTTGTAATAATACACCAAAAAGTACCCATTTATTTCATACAAAGCGACAATTTTTATGAAAGCTCGCATATTGAAGGATTAGATTATCTTTCCATATACGAGCTTGCCTCTATATAAGGTCCAAAACAAGAAATCTAAGTGATCCAACTATACTATGAATTAATTTTCATCATAAAATATTAAAAATGAAGCGTCTTTCTGAAGAATTTACGACTCATAAATTATTTTATATATGGAGTGTTGCCCAGAAATAGACCCATATGCTTCAAATTAGTTCCACTTAGTTTTTATATTATTACATTACTATTATGAACAAATTTTCTTAGCAAAAAAATTAACAATTAGCCCTCTTTGCGATATAAGTATTTACGTTTCATGACGATTCTTATATGCCATAATATTCAAAAAATAACTCTACGTAGTCCAAATTCGGTAAGGCTGGTTTCTTTGTCAATTTACTATTATGAGCCAATTTTTACAACGAAATATTCGCTTTTTGTCACATATGTATTCAATTTTCGTAGGATCGGTTATATGAGAAGGGGATCAAAAGATGGCCCCAACTGAGGCTATCGGAAAAATTATTAAAAGTTGTAATTTTTTCCAAACAACGACTCTTCAAAACTTTCCAGAATAGGGCGTTATATGGGAAGTGGTCGAAAAAGTGGACTGATCCGAATCATTTTCTATAGCATTTGTCCTTGGGCCAAAGCATGGCAGTGTACAAACTTCATTAAAAGTTTGAACAAAAAATGAACTTGGAAAAACATCAAAAGATGGACAGATGGACGGACAGACATAGAATAATGAAAGGTGGGGTTGTCTTACGTCATTCTGCGTGTGACATATGTCCGCACTAACTTAATATAGCCTGTACATCAAGTGGAATAGGGTATAACAAAAAGTTTATTCCTTAAATAAAAAAAATTATCCTCTTCTTCTTCTGTTATTCAGCAAATCAACAAACGAAATTTCGCTGAGATGCGTAAAGAAAAAGAATTGTATTATTTCATAGTGAAAAACGGCAATAAATTTCCAGCCAATCCAACATATATATATATATATATTTTTTTTTTTTTAAGTCTTTAAAGATAAAATATGTGTTGTATTACATTTAATATGCAGACGCTCTCAAAAACAAAATTTGAGGTAAGGTTATGGTTCACAACGGGACGGTCTTTCACCGACAACTGTTATCAAGAGGTCCTACAAAAATTTATGTACGTCTTCTACAATCGCTTTGTTTAATTAAAAATATTAAAACTCTTACTGTGTACTAATTTTTTATTTGCTTTGCGGCGAGTAGACGCCGAGAGCGCGCATTTTTCAGTTACGGCAAAAACGTCTCGACGAAGCATTGATCTGATCCAATACGTTTCGGTAATATTTCGGTAAAATTTACGGTATCACCCATGGTGCCCGATGACACATGGTTACCCTTATAAGAATAAAGGAACGGGCACATCATAAGACCTGGACTCTGGATTCTGTATTGTGCCATACGGCGGTCTCCTTCGGTCTATGATTTCTAATGGGAGAGTCTCCTGAGGGCTACTTTTGGTATTTATTATGGATTAATCCCTAAATATTTCGACTATCGAGCTTTATTCGAGCTTTTTTTTATTGATGAGATTTTCAGATAATATCGCCTGCGTTTTATGATAGCAACCGTTATCATAAAATAACGATAATCATTATTTTCTGCAAACAGACAGTTTTTCTGTTCATTTATTTGATAGAATTTGTTTTATGTGAGAAAGGAGAAATGTTTGAGTGATTGTGTCACTCGTGAAACTTATGCTGGGACTTATTGACGGACAAATTAGCTTCTAGAAGACGCGTTTGAAGTTGTAAGGATTATTGTATGGCCTAATGCGTAAGATGCGCGAATTATCTGTCGTTTCGTTGCGATGTCCAGTGCAGTAGACTACATTTAAATTATAATTGACGGGAGGATGCAACTATAGTGTTCTTATCCTGTCATAATCTTTTCATTCTTTTTCCACTTCTTTCTCTGTGGCCATTACCTATGCAAGGAACATCCTTTGAGGAAGGTGGTTATAGAAGAAAAAACTTACTTCACTTGAAAAACCGACACTGTCTTCATAATCCTAAAGCTTGTTAGTAATCGGACGGTATTATAAATTTAAAGCTCCACTATATTCATATTGGAAAGATTCGATGTAATTTGCATGTAGCAAGTTCTTGCATACCTTTCGAAATCCGAAAATAGTTAGGTTTTTTTTTTTTTTTTTTTTTTTTTTTTTTTTTTTT